CGGGTGAGGGCGTCATGTCAGGCCACACCAAGCGCCTGTGCCGCTCTCCCTCCTCGCACTTTACCTTGTTCTTGCGTGGGCTTTTCTCCATGGGCCGTGGCTCCTGTAAGGAAGTGTTAATCTGCTCCCAGCCATAGTTCAGAAAGGATTTTCGTGGTGGTCTTTTTCAAACTTTCCCGCCCATAACGAGGACCTTTTAGCCCCTCCCTTCTGTGGCATGGTTGCCTCAAAGCTGCCGTACAAGAGCAGGAAAGAGACCCCGTGGAAGTTGCTTCTCGCCCAGGAGAGCAGATTGAATTCACCACAAACCAGAGGTGAGGTGGGAGATGTGCTCGCTGGCAGGGAGGGAAGGATGTTGTAGATGTGGAAGTAGAGAACCATTGCAGCGCAAAGTTGGACTGCGAGAGTTCCTGTGGCATAGGCCAAAAACCTCCTCTGGTCTGCTGAGGGTGTTGGCAGTAAAAGTATATAATGGTCAGAGGTTAGGGCAGGCCAAGAAGTACAAAATAAAAGCCAGATTTAAGGTTATTCATGTGTTTTAAATGTTTGGGATTTTCAGTATTGTAGAGCTCTGATTTATTTATTTATTTATTAATTTTAAATTGTCATTTCAGGTGCTTAAAATTTTCCTGAAACTTGTGAGGTAAATTTTAAGAGCAAAGCTGTTACCTAGCATGGAAGAATTCAGCAGTTATAAGTGACTGAGAAGGTTAAACTGTTTGGTCTTGTTAATGCCACATTAAATTTAAATCTCTTTTTTTAGTGTTAGCAAGTGATTTTTGAAGTATGAGTCCTTGTGCCTTGTATGTGGTTGGGCAGTGCTGTGGGAAGCTAGTGGCCTCCATGTTTTGGGGTTTTTGGCCTCATTTCTCCAGACTTGTCTTTTAGCAAAAAGTGGGCTCACTGTCTGCTCTAGGCCTTGCTGACTGCAGAAAAATCTCACTGCAGCCTCAGAACTGAGTAGTTTTATTGGTTTATTTGGAAATGCAGCTATTTAGCTAATGAAATGCTGTTTTATTCTGGAAAGAGAGGCAAAAAATTCTAGAAGGTATACAGGACTATGGGCAGTATCGTGGACTTGGTGTAGTCTGGGAAAGCAGGCGGTTCAGATCAGGCGAGGTCTAGTGGCTGTGTAGTCTTGCTGTACTTATGTTCTCTGATGTTCATGAGAATTGTATTTCTGTGTGTAGGAGATAAAACGTATTGATCCAAGAAATCATTGGTGTTTATCATGTAGTGGCTGTACTTGGAAGTGATGTTTTGTAGAGAATAAGCTAGAAAGGGGTTTTCATTATATTTAATAAATTTCATATAGGGAAATTAGTTGTTATTCATTAATGCTTGTAAAAAGCATTTTTAAGAACAATATGCAGCTGCTATGCATTGAAGACTGTGAAAAGCAAGAGCAATGCAAAAATCCTAACCCTGCCTCAAAATTCACCTGAAGTGACCTCTCAATGTGACATACATCATTATTACTGCAGGACCTGACTGCCTCTAAGAGCTGTCAGTATGGATAGAAAGTAATTCTGATTCCTGTGCTGCTTTCTTTAAGATCATGTTTGTCTGCTGGCAAGCACTACAGTTAATAACGTGGCAAATAATATGTGAAATGAGAATAGAGACAGCTACTAGGCAGTTTAAACTGTCCTCCAGTTTCTTTTAACTCTGAGTAAGGAAAGGACATAAAAATGTAATACTACAAGTAAAAACATGAAAAAAAATCAAAGCATCTTTATGTAAAATGTATTCCATGCCTTTCCATAGCATATAAGTCAGAAGCAAGCTGCAACGCTTTCTGTTGCTGTATTAGCACTTATTTGCCTCCACAAGCACTGCTATTAGCTGAACGTGGTTACAGCCAAAGTAGCCTTTATTGCTCTGGTAGCAAAGTAGGATGCCAGCAGGAAAAGCCAGGTTGGTATTCATAGCTGTGCTTTCCATCAGTCGTCGGAATTGGCTCAGGAAGGGCAGCAGTCCCAGGGCTTGACCAGCAGCACTTGTGTGGATAGCGTGGGATCTTGTCATGTCTGAACGCTCTCCAACTCTGAACTTGTACTTTGATTTGGACAAATAATTTAGTAACTGTTTAAAAACCAGATTTGAACTAAGTATATACTGTAAGATGTAAATACGAGTTGCAGATATTGGCTAATAATTTTAATGCTTTTCAGTAAGTAGGAAAATAAGCAGAAAAACAGTGAAACAACAAATGAGATCAGCTTGCATCAGAGCTATTCACTGAATCTAGCACATTGTGACATTGTGATTTTTTTTAAACATTTGTGAAGGTGTGGAACAAAATTCTGTTTTAAAGGAACAAGTTAGGAAGAAAGAGCTGTTTGTAAGTAAATGGCATATAGGAAACTGAGTACCTATATACCTTTATTCTGAGACCTTAAAATTTCCTAAAAGGTGATTTGAAATGAAGACAATTTCTGTCTCTGGTGCTTAGCTTTGCTCAAATTAGATTAACAGTTGGACTGAAATTGTGAGGACATTTTTTTTCCCCTTTTTTGTTGTCCTGTACTGAGACCATTTATATCTCTAACTGAGGTCGAGTTGACTGGTAGGAGGGGTTTACAGGAGGTAAATGCAGCATGGACTGAAACACTTCACCCTAGCAATTAAGTCTAAATCCTGGTTCTACCAGAAGGCTTCCACTACCATCTTCTCATTTGATGCTTTTCCTTAGTTTGTCAGAAAATTGGTTAATAGGTAACAGTAAGTGGACCTGCAAAGCTGGAACTAAAGGAGGTAAAAAATAATATAAAGAAAAAGCCTGTAGAACTGCAGTTATGTCTTGCTCTTTTATTTTTCCACATTACGTAAAACAATGTTTAATAGCACTGTATCTTATTTTTTACAACAAAATATTTTCATGTATTCATTTCCTGCTTATAACCAAAAACTTCATACAACAGTCACTAAATATCAGCACCTAAATCTTCATAATACTGTTGTTCTGTAGTGCAGTTTTGTTTTGTTTGGGACCATGGTTAGAGATCTTACTCTGTATTCAACATTGCCTTGGTTTTTTTGTCAGTGCAAAATGTCTTTAAGCGGGAATAAACATTTACAGTGTATTGGTAGCAAGGCCATGGTTCTAACATGAAACAAAGAGTTAACATTGATGTTCATCTATTAACTAAAGAATACAAAAGTTTTACTTCTCCTGTACTTGATTTCTGTGTGCATATGATAATCTACACTTTATGAAACTATCAGACTGAAAAAAACCCAAACCAACTATATTTTTATTTAGTGGTAGGTGGGATTTTTTGTTTTGCTTTGTTTTTTAAGCTTGTTTTTCCAGGTGATGAATTGAACTACCTTTATCGTTTTAATACCTTTAAAAATACAGACAATTCTAAACAGTTTGTTAGGGTCAAAAATTCAGATATTCATTAAGCTTCTTGAAGAAAGGGAAAAATGAAAGTAATAAAAATCCCCCCTCAATATATTTTAACGTGAATTCTTAAACATGGTATTTTTATACAAAGATATATTTTAATAATAAATGTCATTCTATTCCTCAGTCATATTATGACAAATGTAAGACACAGAACCATTTTATTGCAATGATTAGAACACCACTTCTCAACCTTCTTTATAAAAACAAAACACTTTAAAAAACCCAAAACAAAACAAATATCAAACAACAAAACAACAAAAAACCCAAACCCCCAAACTCCAGAGATGGGTGTCCTCAGCTGCTGTAACACAGCACAGCATCTTTGGAGCCACGGAGACACCTGGCTGCTGCCAGTCCAGCCCTGGAGGTGCAGTGCACAGCAGCCGCAGGAGCTCAGGGCGCTCCAGCAGCGCAGGGCCAGGCAAGCGCGTGCAGCCCACCAGCTCATTTCCAGTGGGGTGCTGCTTAGAGGGGTTAAACGCTGGGTGACATTTTTCATAACAAGAACAGCAGAAACAACAGGAGCTTTGAAAATAAAGACTAGACTATTTAAATAGATGATAAAAATCTTAACACTGCTAGGTAGACTAGTGTTAAATAAAAACTGTCTGTAGGTTTATAATAAATTAAAAATAACCTTTGGGTTTGAGTGATGCAGTATTTTGGGAGAAATGATATAATTCAGTGTCTGGATTTGTAGAGATACTGGAGTGCATTTCAAAGTACTGCTGTGGTATGAAATGAAAACCTTTACCATAAGTTATACAGTGATCTGTGGAAAACTATAAACTGAGAGTAAGTAATTATCCTGGATCGTAGCCACTGAAGTGTTGGTACAGGTAAACTGAATGAGTTTTTCGTTCATTTTTTGTGGAAGCAATTTAGTATAGGCGGGGCATGGTTTCATGCTGGCACTTGTTAATGGATGAGTAATAAATCAGGCCACAGAACTCCTTAGAAATATGAAAAAATGAAGCTGTAATTCCATAAAAATAATAAAGTGCTTTAAATGAGCATTTGTTGTTTACGACTTTGTTTCTCATTTCATGATACACATCAAAACCAACCCAATGAAATATGATAGTGCTCTCGAGTAAGTGAAACTGAGCCTGTTACTTATTGTAGTCAGTGTTTCCATGTATTCTTGTCGTGATGTTAGATTTAGTTTACTGTGGAATCAGAGGAGAAGCTTATAGCACAGATTGAACTTCCAGAGACATAAGGACCACCATAAATATTCTCTATTTTAAAGTTTCCATTTGAAAAAATGTGCATGTAAGAAGGAAGCAAAAAGAGCAATCTGGGAACAGTTCATATCCAGTGTAAGTAGCCAGTTTGCCTGAAATACACTGTTCAGTTTTGTAAGACAGAAGAGGGTTGCTGGGAATGTATAGAAATCTGAGAATTTATTCCAAGTCCATTGAGTGATAGCTGCTATAATATGGATGCTTCTTCCATGGCTTCAATCCACCTAAAAAGGGCAGGAAAGAAAAAGTGACACATATAAAATTATATGCATTTTAAGAACATAAATATTTTAAGAAAAATATTTTAAGAATGTAAAGCCTGAAGAGGACTGTATTTCCTATCTCGACTCTGAGGAACTATAGTTTTGTGATTAAAGCAGGGAACTGCGTACTAAGACTTGTGTTCTAGTACAACCTTTATCAGTAAATTATTTTAACATCTCAAAGATAGTAAAAGTGCTGTCTTAGAATAGGAAAGATGAAACCACTAAAGTATGTTTAAAAGCAAAACACACATGCATGCACACGCACAAACATATATAAATCAACCAACCAACCAACCAACCAGCAAACCCACAACCCAGAAATACTCATTTCCTTCCCTGTGTGTATTGAGGTACTGGCATTTTAATTACTAATTTCATGGCTATTTTATTATGTGGAAACAGTAGTGTTAGAATGGGAGATCTAAACAGTTATTTGTTGGTGAGGAAACTAAGAGATGGAGAAACAGAATGCATAAATCAGGTGAGTTTCTGTACAGTAATCACATTTGACAGATTTCTAGGCACGACTCTTGAGACTCAGCCTCCTCTTTACCTACACAAGGGAGCAAATTCTCCTTCCTGAAGGAGCTGACAAGCACCAGGTAGATTTTTAGTGTCACCCAGGCCAGTCACATGCAACTGGGCTTAATCAACACTGAATGCTGTTTGTTTCCTCTGTTATGAAGGCATTCTGAACTGAAGGAGAGGGAAAAGCTTTTGGACCCGCACACTGCCTGGTGTGGAAGTCTACCCCCATACCTCTGTGCTGAATTGTTATCCTCTGCTCGGAAGCTATAAAAGAGAGTCTGCTTGTGGTAGAGATGGAAAACTGTATCCATACTTCCTTCTTCCTTTTCTGGGGCAATGGTGAAACCCAGCAAAGGCAAACTTTCAGTGGCAACTTTGTCCTGAAAGCAAACAAGAAGTGTACCAAAATTTAGAGAGAAGGCTTATAACAGTTTGAGGGCTCTTTCTGAACACCAAATAACAACACAACCCTGCTCTGACAGGGCTGGAAAAGCAGTAGTGTGAATCTTCTGCTGGGCTGGTGGCTCTTAAACAGGAGCAGTGCCTATGTATTATGTATTAACTATGTGCTGCACATGTTTCTCTAGTCCTAGTCCTGAACTTGAACACTTCTTAAAGTCCAGTTCTTCATGATCATTGGCACGGGCATCAAGGTCAAATTAGCCATTACTTCAATGGCTATCTCTGACATAATGGTCTAGGAGGCAAACTACAGGTTACTGAGAGTATGGGACAGTACAGCAGCAGTTCTGAAAGCCTAAGACCCACTCCTGGTTATGTTCCTTTCAACCACTTTTATTTGCTGAGTCTTTCTGTTACCTTGTCATTTCCTTTCATATCATTAGCAACAGTGCAGAAAACTGCACTGTCTTAGACAGCACACTTGCTTTCCTAAATGCTGCTTTGGAATTTTTGAGCTTGCAATGCAATTTTTAATTCACTCCCAAGAAACATTCATGAATTTTGCTTACCAGACACTGCTTTGTACAAGTTAAAGAAAACAAGAAGCCTATTGCAGTTTAGCTGTTACTAATAGCTGCAGTTTTGGTCACTGCAGGTAATGTATGTAGGTAATGTTTTCTATGAGTGTATGTTGCCTTTGCCTTTGCTTTTAGAAGCTAAATTGCAAACTAGGAATGCAAAATGTGATTAGCTATCCATTGCTTTTTTTCCCTATTGTTGAACCAGAAATGATCACTTTCAAGGTTAGCAGAGGTAAAGTCTATATCCAGTCTGTACTGGATACAGAATTTGATGCTAATGTTCTGAATTGCTGGCCAAATCATGAACTCTTTTGTGCCTCAGTCCCCTCACCTCTTTAAAGGGGATAATGTTGCTTCACGCAACCATCACAGTGGTGATAAAAGCTTAAATAATTGATGTTTGCAAAGTGTTCTGAAGGCTTAAAGTACCAAATATTGCTATTGCAACAGTTCTTGCATTCTGTGTAATTTGTTCAGCAAAAAGAATTTTTATGCTTCTGCTTATGAAATCTGTCAGTTATAACCAAACTTTATGTCACACTTACTTCAAGTTTATTTGTTTTGCAGCTGTTCACAAAGGAGAAGAAATTAGGACAAATGTCCTATTTATACTTGCAAAACTGCAAGATTCTCCTCCCCACCAAAAAAGGATCATAGTACCATCCATGTACAAAATATCTGGCAGTTACCAAGTGCACCAGAGAACGCCTAAGGACCTTGAAGTCTTTAGGTGTAAATATGTAGACTGAGGATCGCAGTGGTTGACAGTTTATAATAGCGTGAATAGCAAACAGCGAAGGGCAGTTTGTGACGAGGGCTGCCGAGGTGCAGCCAGGGCTGTGGTGGGCCCCTCAGCTCAGGACAGCTCGCTGGGGTCTCGGTGTGCTAGGAGCGACTCTCAGAAGGGAGGCAGTTGTGAGAACTGCCATTTATACCTTCCACATTACTTGTGCTCCTGTAGGGAGTAAAGAGGGCGACTCGGATAGGAAACTGTTTGAAGATTGCACAGTACCTCGTTTGCTATGTAGGTGTAGAGGACTTTCCCTTTGATAACAAACCAGCGTTTCTTCCAGTGTCTTTTGCCTCCCTTACATCTGCTGAGGTAACCACTGATGGTAGCTCCCTCTTCTGAGGCTGCCACCTGGAGCAGGGTAGGAGAAATCGGCATTTGTAACAGCAAAGACTTTTCCCCCTCCTGATTATTCATGTTCACATCACACCACATAACCAGGTCTATGTCTGTGAAACGATAAGTAGACCATTAAAAATATTGAGACAGAAAAAATATGAGCTTGGTATTATGGTTCTTTTTAACTGCTTGAAGATTTCTGGTTAAACTTAATTCTTAGTAGCTCTGACAGAAAATATGCAGTTGAGTTATTACAGAGGTCAGCGAGTTTACAGCTGTTCTGAGAAGCAGAACTTGTTCCTTTTCCCAGATCTGGGGTTTTTTTGTATATTAAAAGTACATGCTTCCAAAAGGGAATTACAGTCTTGTGGTCAAACACTTTCAAGATGTGGGTATATTCAGGACTTTGCAATGGCTTTATATCAATTTATGTTAATCACTTGACTATGACTTGGTTTCAATTGTAAGGTAATATTTCTGAGAAGTTAACCCTCTCACAGAACTATTTTGAGATCCAAGTGCTTAATGTTCTTCTAGATCCAGATTTTGAGTAGATGGAACTATATACACACACAATGCAGAGTACATTATTAGTTGCAGTAGTAAACTGCAGTAGTATTGGATTTAGAAGCAAAGGGCAGAGATTCAAAACCAGGTTTTGTAGAACTGACAGAAGAGGAGACTGAGCAGTAATATAGCAGTGTTTTGCAGCAGAACAGAAATGCTCCAGGACCTGGGTAAAGCAAGTTAGGAAAGTTAGGGAGCCATGCCATTGAAAGAGAGTTCACGTTTGTAACCGCTTGCTGCCTCCTTGTGAGTGGAGAGGCAATGCTTTTTTCCTCATGGGGCTGAAAGTTTGCCTGCAGGTTCTTTTCAGTATTCGATTGGTGTGTTTGTATTACGTGCTTGTATCTTTTGCTTAGTTTCACCTCAGCACAAACAAACCTCAAGAAATTGCAGTGTCTCGACTGTACAATGAGTTCAGCAGGCTGTTAACACCCTGTTCTCTTTAATACAACAATAAATACCTGCTGATTTCAGTGAAGTGGGAGTCCCTTATTGTGCTTGAGTTCAGCCGGCAACTTAGCTACTTAGACTACATCAACATGATTGGCACCTTGTTCCTGGAAAGAAAACTAATATAGCTGGAGAGATCCTGGCCCCATTGAAATCAGTGGGAATTTTGTATACATTAGTGGGATCAAGATTTTACCCATTTGATTTGAAATAGTTTGGTTTGAGCTAGAGGGAAGTGCCTGGTTAACCACGTGTGCTCCTGAAATGACTGCCAAGGACTAGAGTCTATTCCCTAAGCGGTATTTCATGTCTCTTGAAATCAAAGTAAGATTTTGGAAGTAAAGGCCTTGTCAAAAAGGTAACTGGTCAACAGTGTCATGCTCTGTGGATACTTGTCATTGTGATCTGCCGCATTGTACTAGCTAGTACCTTGAAGTCATCTTATCTTGCTAAAGACTTCACAGGCTGATGAGCAAATTAAAGTATGCTGCTCTAATTGGGTTTCTTAGTGGGCTCAAGAAGCTTCTCTGGTATTTTCAGAGCTCAGAGTATTTTGTATTTTAAACACCACTGTGAAAAGCGGAAAAAAATAACTGCAGCATGAAAGTGCAGGGCATGGGCTGAGCCCACTGCACACAGAATACATTATAATGTAGCTGCTGAAGTATGAGCACGCAGTTCTCTACGGTTCCTTCTGTCAACTTGGTCCTACCTCCGTAAGAGCTGAAGGGATCTTCTTCTGTTTCTTAAAAGATGAATAATGAATATTGTGGAAGACGGAGAAGGCACTGTTTGAACACCTGGATGAAGTTGGAGGGAAGCTCATACTTAGTGGCCGCTCTGCAAGATAAAGAAAATACAGAAAGGGAAGGGGGAAATGGATGAATCGGTACATATCAGACTAGGGATAAGAGACACACAATACACTAATGCAAATGACTAAGGAAAATATGATGCCTCCTCCATAGCTGGTTTCTATTTTAGCTTTTCTTTGAAATTGCCTCCTTAAGTCTGATTATATGGGTGGATTTCATAGTGCCCAGGGTTAATGGTAATAATTTACAGCAGCTTGAAAGAAGCCTGCAAGAAAACTGACCAAGCACAAAACACAGCTTATTTTCGTCTATTTAAAAATCAGCATTAAGCAAAGGGCTTTTTCATCTATCCCCTCTATGTCCGGTGACACCTTTGCAGGATAGATTCACTAATGGGACATTCTTTCTGTGTGAGCCATTTTCCTTGAGTTCTGCATGGAGAGAGAGTTATTCTGTCTCTGTGAGTCTCTATTACCCCCAGTCTATATCTTCATGATCTCCCTTCTGGCAGCACATGTTATCTGGAAGCTCTTAGTAAAGCACAGCATTGATTCAGCACAAATCTCAGTTCTGTCTTCCTGGACGCACCGTGGTTTGGGGATGCTTTTGTGGCTGTTGTGACAGCATCCATTCATGTGTTTGCTTGGCTAGTGTGAATTTCTTTAATTCACAGGATCAAATTAATTCAGGATGAAAAAAGCAACTTCATCTGTCCCCACCTTTTTATCCTTGACAATATAATGTGCCTACTTTAAAAGACTGTCTACATGAATGGTTGTACAAGAACATTATTTTCTGTTCTCATAAATGTAACCCCTGCCCTCCATTTTCTCTTTGATTTGGATGTGTATTTAAACCAGAAAAGGGACTTATATAGTAGGACAATAATACAGAGTTCTAGTTAGGCAGTAGCTCTTCTGGTTTGATTTCATGCTTTCATCTATAACCAGATTAACTCCCCATGTAGAAAAGCTCTTAGTGACTCTGTACTTGACCTCAGCATTTCTTTTTGTAAAAGCTAAAATGTGGATGAGGACTGTGAGGAACTGTAAAGCCATTGTTTAATGGACAGTTCATTAGAAATTATATGGGGAAGAGCTATCATCTATAATTGCATCACACAATCGTTCAGGTTGAAAGGACTTACAAGGATCATGGAGTCCAACTGCCTGATTACTTGAGGGCTGCCCAGAAGTTAAAGCATATTATTAAGGGCATTGTTAAAATGCCTCTTAAACTCTGTCAGGCTTGGGGCATCGACTCCCTCTCTAGGAAACCTGTTCCAGTCTTTGACCACCTTCTGGGTAAAGAAATGATTCTTCATGTCTAATCGGAACCTCCCCTGACAAAGCTTTGAACCATTCCCAGGAGTCCCACCCCTGGATCCCAGGAGGAGAGATCAGCACCTCCCTCTCCACATCCCCTCCTCAGGAAGCTGCAGAGAGCAGTGAGGTTGCCCCTCGGCTTCCTCTTCTCCAAACCAGACAAACCCAGAGTCTTCAGCTGCTCTTCACAGGACATAGTTTTAATCATTATTCTGGTTTATCAAAAGGCCCTCGGAGCCCTTGGAGAACGAGGCTCGCTAAAACAGTTTCAGCTGCCATACAGCCTGGAATGCCAGGAACTGCAATGCACGTGCCTTATGTTTGAAATCAGAAATCCTCTTCAACAAAACACAACATGGTAGGCAGATCCTAAAGCTTCCCTATTATACAGGCAGGAAATGGATTTGTCAGTTTTGCCAAGAGTGAAGGAACCTTACCTCTTTTCTTAAGTTCCACATAGCAGCTATCACAGACTTTAGCTGCTTGATCTTTGAGGTACTTCATAGGGTACTTGCTTCTTGAACAATTTCGACATACGATCTGTTCCAATAAGGAGAGATGCACATAAATATAACTTAAATTTTTATATGTGCACATACAAAACAAATCCTCTGAGCTGGTTGGGCGAGGAAGATGGATAGTGGACCAAATATGGCTCTCCTCTAAAACTGTGGCAGTCAGGGTAAGTCTGCTGACTGAAATGTTATTCCTGTAGATTTACACCGTTGTAAGCCAAGTTGAATTGATCACTGTATTTGGTTGCACACCATTGCTGTGCCCATCTCCCCAGAACTTACACCTTCCCTACTAATGGATCACAGAAAGACCACTGTAATATTACTTCTGTTTTCATAGCTTTGTTAGTAACATTGTTTTCTTAAGCAAGCTTGCATGTTTCAACTATCCCTGTGTAGGTGCAGACTGATTTTCTCTGTGGAATTAGAAAAGAAAGATTAAGTAAAAGCTTTTTCATCCTAGCAAAAATTACTGGTAATTTGATAGAAAAAAAATCACTATGGCTAAAAGACAGCCATGGTTTAAAACAAGACTGCAGGTTTATGCGTATAAACAAATCTCTAGAGTCTGATAAAGGGACAAAACCAAGAAAGCTCATAGATCCCCATGGCTTCAGGGTAAAAGGCAGCAGCTCTTCCATGGAGCACAAAGGAAACTTTCCCTTTGGTCACTGACCAAACCATGCTCTACTGCTGAGTTTCTTCACTTTTCTTGGAAGGTAATTTTACTAGCTGTTACTAGGGACAGGACACAGATGAGTTGTGCTGCTCCAGAACAGAGCCTATAGTTTTAGTGTTGCTTCATTGTCTCTAGAGCTAGCTGTGTATCATATAATGGCTGGACTCAGCAACAATCACCCTGTAAGCCTTCAACTACTAGCCTTTGGGAAGGTTACTGTTGATCCTACTAGAGTCACTAGAAACTAAATTACTTAATTTAGCAAAACACTAACAGGTTGTGTGAGCTGTCAAATTCTGGTCTTGATGTTGCTACAAGTTTGCAGACGTTACAGCAGCGTCCTAGAGGTGTGAATTAAGCCTCCCTGAGAAGCTCACACAGCTCTTACCTTTCCACAGGCATGGCAATGATGTCTCCTCAAAGTGAGGGTAAAGTCACAGCCGCAGTTCATGCACATCATGACATGAGACACGGGTACCAAAGTAGGAGGCCTCTCCCCCAAGGGTATTCCAAGCCTTTCCCTAAGCTTAAAATCAAACAAGAACAAATGAAGAAGCATCCAGACTTCCAAAGTCCACTCGGTCAGCTCTGCTCCATCACATATGGTTCTCCTCTTATTTCAGTCTACCTTCACCTGCTGAGTTCTCCAAATTTTCTAATTCCTAATGCATCTTGTAAGTGAGGTACAGCTGCTTCAGCACTGAAAGACTGTGGCCTATCAGTACATGGCACTGTTAAAGCTAGAGTCACAACAGGTAAAAATTGGTCAGGCACTGATGCTATTCCCCATCATATGAGGGTCTGGTTCATTGTATATGCAGTGTAACTAATGGGTAGTTTTGTTTTCTCAAAATCTATGAAGTTTGTAGCTATTTTTAGTTCATCCCAAATAGTTACCCTTTGGGACAAAACAGTCATCCTCCAGAGGAACTCTTATTTATGCAAAGAACACAGAGTATAGAGTGTGATTAACATTTCAGAGGTGGGCCATGAGCTATAATGAGCTTCATTATTTAAGCTTGGCATACCACATTAAATGAAAATAGTAAGAACACCTTGCTACTAGGAACTCTACATTTTATTATCCCGTCTTTCCCTTCCTCTTTCAAGCATTGAAACACTTGGCCTCCTTTTACCTCCACGGTGCTGTGGAAAGTGGAAGCGTTGTGAGCTTTGTAGTCATCTGGGATGTGTCTGCTGATGCAGCTGTACCAGTCATCCCTTTCCAAGCAAGAGCTGTGGAATGAAATACAGCAGAGCAGTCAATGCCATGCACAGCAAGGGCTGAAACAAGCTGTTTCTGGATCAGAGGAGAAAAGCTTCACTTTATGAATGTTTGCTTTTCTACACTACTGCATTGAACTCGTAATTTTCTGACTGAGAACAAAACTGACTGTTGGACAAATTCAGTGGGATTAGTATAGGTCCATGGTCAGGACTGTGACTGAGAAGGAACTAAAGACCCAGAAAGTTTTTCACAGTAGTCTCTGACTTTGCTATAAGACACTCAATCCTAGATCACATAAGACAATATGAAATGTCACTTTCTGTCACGTCTGCTCTAGCTTTTAGGCACTATAGAACATGTAGAGTTGGCAGGGTTGCTCAGAGTAAGCGTGCTTATGCTCATCTCTACACTGGGATGCTTAGGTAATCTGCATGTTGGGAGATGCAGAAGTCTGTCACCCAGTAGAGATGTGAATGCTTAATTTTTCTCTAGCTCCATCACAGACAGTCTCCAGGCTCCTGGAGAGGCCAGAACAGCCAATTCCTGGAAGGGAGATCTGCGTTCCCTCCAGTTGCAGTTATGCACAAGCCAGCAGTTCCCCAGACTGGCCCCTAGATGCCCCCTTTGCACAAGGCGAAACCACGAGCGCTGTGCGCGTCTCTGGTGTCCCAGAGAAGCTGCAGCGCTCTCGGTGCCTGTTACTTCCCAGATGCATTCGCTGTGTTACAGCCATAAGCTGTCCTGCCTGTGTTAGCTGCTTTTCCTGCTGTGACTCCAAACTGTGCGCTTCCCGTCCATCTGAAACTGTGCACAGCTCTAGCTGTTCCCAGCATCAGTCACGGGAGGGAATGCGGCTCAGTGTGGTCTCCCCTCCCCGAGTCACACCAGCCACTCGCATTAAAGCTGCACTAGGCTTGGTTGTAAAAATTAGCAGTGGCATCATTGCCAGCTGCTGTTCAGCTGTGATTTCCTCACACTGTCCTCATGAAGGCCACCAACCCAGACATCTGAGAACAATTTGCCTTTTGTGGTCTTAAAAAAAAAGGGGGGGGAGGGGGGCACACAAAAAGAGAGGAAATGCCAGACTTTATCAGTGATCTCTGACTTAGCATCCCTCTGCATAATGAGCATAAGCCCTTGTCTGAAAAACACCAGCCTCTGTAAAATTCAAGAAGCCTGGAGCAGAAATTGGAGCAGAAACTGTTGAGCCAGTGTTCCTACTGCATATGGGCCAACCTCTGCAAGTCAAGGGTACAGGAGATAATCTCTAGCAAGAGTCACACTACTAGTCAGTCCTTATTACTCCCAAAATTACACATTTTAAGAAATCTGAAGATGTCTGTATCTTCCAGACAAATCATGTTCACAGCCTGCAAAGCACCAAATGAAGTCCTGGCTGCAACCTTTCTGTTGCGGATTCTTTCTTGGAAATTCTTTTCACTTGAGAATTAAGATATGATTTTTTTAAAAAAAGAAACAAAGGGAAAAACAACAAAGGAAATAATGGCCCATATGGTGGTGTAAATTACAGCCACTTTGGGAAAGACAGATAAGAGGGACAACCGGCTATTAAAAGCCTGATCTCTAACTGGCCCCTTTAACCTCTTCTCCACTTCTAAATGTGGGAATTACACCTGTCTGCTGATGAGTAAGATAAATTATGTCAATTGTCACTGGCCTGTTCTTAATTTGCTATTTCACTGGTTGCATGA